TTCGGAATCGACCGCGATTGGCTGAGCCGATCGCGGGCGATTCAAAACGACCCGATTGGCCGCAGCACTCCGGCAGAAAGTGCTTTTAAGCCGCGCTTCTTCCCCACTCTCCCCACTTGTGTTTTACCCTAATAAATGAGCTGAACCAAGTCACTGACTCGCGTCCTTTGTTCGTATGAGATATACGACAAATACCTTCATCGAAGATCTAGATGAGGGAATAGAACTCATTGGATTTTCAGACAGTACCAAGCTGGCAGGAATAGCCAACACTTTATAAGAGAGTCTTAAAATCCCAATGGATCTCAAAAGACTTGAGCTTTGGGCCTTGTCCAACGACATGAAATTGAATATGGAGAAAAGCAAGGTTTTACAGCTAGGCAGGATAAATCAAAGGTACAAGTACAGACTAGGCAAAACCTGGCTCAAAAATAGTAACCGTGAGAGGGACCTTGGGGTCTTAGTGGACAATCACATAAATACTAGCCAGTCATGTGCTGCAGCACCCCAAAAAAACCAACAGTGTCCTAGGCTGCATTAACAGTGGAATAGAATCAAGATCATATGAAGTGTTGATTCCACTATATAATGCCTTAGTAGTAAGATCACACTTGGAATACTGCATCCAGTTTTGGACACCATAATGTTAAAAAGACGTAGAGACTTTGAAAAGGTTGCATAGAAGAGCAACAAAGAGGATTGGGGGACTGGAGACTAAACATGTGAAGAATGGTTGCAGGAATTAGGTGTGTCTAGTTTGATGAAAAGAAGGACTAGGGGTGACATGATAGCCCTGTTCCAATATCTAAGGGGTTGCCATAAGGAAGAGGGAGTCCACCTATTCTCCACAACACCGGAAGGCAGGACAAAAAGAAACAGATGGAAACTAATCAAGGAGAGAACCTAGAACTAAGGAGAAATTTCCTGACAGTTAGAACAATTAATCAGTAGACTGGTTTGTCTCTGGAAGTTGTGGGTTCTCCATCACTGGAGGCTTTTAAGAAGAGACTGGACAGCACTTGCCTGAAATGGTAGAGTTCCCTGGCTGAGCAGGGGGCTGGACTAGAAGACCTCCAAGGTCCCTTCCAATTCTGCTATTCTGTTATTAGGTAAAGCTTCCCCTCATGCATCTGTGCTAGTCATTTCCAGCTCTAGGGGGCGCTGCTCATTTCCGTTACAAAGCCAAAGAAGAGCCAGCGCTGTCCGAAGACGTCTCCATGGTCATGTGGCTGGCATGACTAAATGCCGAAGGCGCACGGAACGCCGTTCCCTTCCCACCAAAGGGGTCCCTATTTTTCTACTTGCATTTTTTACATGCTTTCAAACTGCCAA